GATTTTTTCCAGCTCAGCAAACTTTGGTCTAAACGGGGCCGTTTTAGTCAACTGGACCTCTTCTTTAAGCGGAGTAAACTTTAGTAAGAACGGGGACAATTTATCCATCTGGGCCCTATTCTTTAAAAATTAGCTGGAAACTTTCATCATGAGCAGAAGACGCTTGACTAAATATGTGGAAATTTTCATCAAAAACTCCCAAAACTCTGATTTTCGCCAGTTAACTAAAGTTAGTTTGATGTAAAAATTGTAACTGTCAAACCAGAGCAAGTAGCAACATGAAACTTTCAACAGTCCTTAGAGTGTGGTCCTCTCGAGACAAGCTCAAATTTGCTAAAACAAAGCAGTTTGCATACGAAATTAATGTCTTGAAACCGCAAAACCATACTTTTCATGGAAGTAGTCAGATAAACGCATTGAAGTTATAACTCTCCAAAACTATAACTCTCTTCTTTTCTTTCATGGACTGTTTTTGAGCTTAAGAGTACTCGAGTGAATTTCCCTATTTTGTGAAGGGTTTTTTCGTCTGAACCAAGATGTCCAAGTTGTAAACTAACGGAAGGCAATCGAAAATAATATCCATTTGATAATAAATCGTTGATATACATCAGGACAAGAAACTTTTTAAAGGTAAAACACGTCGCAAATTGATACATCTGCCATCGGCAGTGCAAAATCGAATTTTATTCGAAGAAAAAATCGCAAAACGAACATCTGTTCCAAGTTTATCGTTCATTTATTGTGACATATAGTGATGGAGTGCCACACTCGAAATGGGAAAATGATGTATATGACTAGAGTGCACTTGGTAAGCTCTAGTAAAATTGATGTTGTTCAGATTTCGGGCCAAACATCGAGGGCTTCATCCCCGATTTGGGAATAATGCGACAATCAGCCGGGGCTAATTAAACTATAATAAACGTGCAGCAATTAATAGAGCGAGAGATAATGGGATTGGTAAACACGTAACAGTTTCTCCACTTGACTGCAACAGTTTCTCTAAATGTGTTTTCAAAATCAACAAACCTCGAGCGCTCCGTACAATATTTATGTGAAAGTGCTCGAGCTAATGGCCCCCATTATTCCCTGTTGACTAACACTTATTTGATATTGTTTTCGAATTGGTCCTACATTAAGCACTCAATTTTTGTCATAATATCGCATTTATTAGGCCAGCAGATTGCTTTAGCATGCGTCGAAAATTCGTCCAGGTACAGTTGTTTAAAGACGCATTTATTGATCACAAGGCCTCACAAAACGCGAGCCTCG